CTGCTTTTATTCTAGCGAAATAAAACAAATAAGATTTTTTCCAGAAGAAAAAAAAATATTATCAAACTGAAAATTTCCTTGCTCTGTTAAACATCATTTGGGAAATATTTAAAAAAGAAAGAAAATTCAAAAAGGGGCTAATAATTCTGACTTTCAGATGCAAAAACCTCTATGTCCATCAGACCTCTTTTCTTGTAAATGAGCATTTTCCATCAGGCTTCTCAGATAAGGTTCAAAAGTTTCATTTTATATGTAATGAAAAGGTTATTAGCTAGTAAATAAAACACCTTTTTTTTCAAAAATGTCACTTTAGACAATTCTTTGGTTTTTAACAAGGTAGATTTTCTTTTGTGTAAAAACCAGCTAAATCCACGTCTACTTTTATGCAAAACCCTCTAAATCCACCTGTTGGAATAAGACATTGCAATTAGTTGAAAATGAAGATGCCATTAGAAATTATTTTACCAAACATAAAACCTATTACACAAACCAACTAAAATGTAAAATATATAAATCTGTCAAGTCATTGGCGGTTAATTCCACTGTGGTAAACCAGGGAAAAAACAGAAGGAAAATGAATGAATGAAATATGTCAATTAAGTGCATTAAAGAATAACATTAAAACTGACTTTAATTAAATCTTAAGCATCTGTTGACATTTCTGATATTTGGGATTTAGATTTAATGTAAGTAGAACAATGTAACCTTATAAGCTAAGCTTAGTAGATTAATATAATGTAGTGTAAAACATTATTATGAAACATCAATATCTGTGCATTGTCCATTAATATAAAAAGTTTATCAGATGTATAGGTATTATGAAGTAATACAAATAATGTATAGTTTTACACATTGCATTTATCTTTTTAAAAATTAGCAAATAAAACACAAGCTAGGCCTATTGGGCAAAAAGGGGAAGTCTCTCAGACACTTTTAGAAGCTGCCATTCCGTGTTTATCTTTATAGCTTCCACGTGGGAGAAAAGAACGACATCTTAACTCTGTCTTTTGTGAAATGTAGTTGCCATTTAATGTATAGTAAATCGGACTCATTCAAAAAAATGTTGCTGCGCCAAAACACGTTATGAATGCATGCTACACTTCTGACTGTACATTGTGTTTTCTTTTTCTTACAATGCAGAGTTTTGAGGTTAGGGACGTTTTCATTTGCCATTCATTGACAGTCGGACAGGCTCATCCAGTTCATCAAACTTCGTCTTTTAAAATCGAAAGCGCAATATATCTCCTCATAAAGCCGGCGTATCAGCACGCTGCTACATTGATAACATATGATTTAATTCGCGCCTTCTGATTGGTTCTCAGGATATAGCGGCTTTTGCTGTCAAAGGCAAGTGGTGTTTAGTGGGTTTTGCCTACAAACTGTTATTTCTGAATGCACTGACGCTGGGATTTAGATGATTTGAAGCAAATCTATTTGTTGATGGTGTAGTATGTGCCTAAAGAATACACTCAATGCCATTATCTCATTTTTGGCGGAAGTGGCGTTTAGCGGCTTTTGCATCTGAACTCTTCATATGTGAAGTCATAATTATTAGCCCCCCTTTGTTTTTTTTTCTTTTTAAAAATATTTCCCAAATGATGTTTAACAGAGCAAGGAAATGTTGCCAGTATGTCTGATAATATTTTTTCTTCTGGAGAAAGTCTTATTTGTTTTATTTTGGCTAGAATAAAAGCAGTTTTAAATTTTTTAAACACCATTTTAGGGTCAAAATTATCAGCCCATTTAAGCTATGTATTTTTTTCGATAGTCTACAGAACAAACCATCATTATACAATAACTTGCCTAATTACCCTAACCTGCCTAGTTAAGCCTTTAAATGTCACTTTAAGTTGTATAGAAGGGTCTTGAACAATGTCTAGTCAAATATTATTTACTGTCATCATGGCAAAGATAAAATAAATCAGTTATTAGAAATAAGTTAACAAAACTATTTTGATTAGAAATGTGTCAAAAAGTTTTTTTTTATTTCAGTTAAACAGAAATTGGGGAAAAAATAAACAGGGGGCTAATAATTTTGACTTCAACTATACATGTCAGAATAAGTAAGTTGTTTAATTTTTACACATATCTCTTAGCATTATCTTACCCATACGGTATTTTTAAATTTTAGTTTTAAAGAAGTCATTTAAAATGTTAAAAAATACAAACGTGTACACTGTAAAACAATCCAGAGTTCAACACAATTCATTCAAGTTGTCCCAACACAAATCAATTTACTCAGCAAATTTAAGTGGATTGAAATATCTCATTAATTGAGTTTATACTGTTCGTATGATAAATCGCTTTTGTGATTTGTAATTTGATTCAGGCAACATCTTGTCTTTTACCACATTAGCATTCAGTATTTTCCTACCCTTACAGAAAAACCATAGGCATCACATGAGCTAAACCAGCCTGAAATCACATGTGAAAGACAAACAAAGTGTGGTTTTGGAACTTTTTCATTTCATTTACAAAACATGTGACCATGTGATCCTTGAGTTCACATCCAAATATTCCAGAACCACAGGTTTCATTTGTGGCGCATATGAAAGCAATTGGCTGTGAATTAAAATCAACTAAATGATTAGAAAATAATCCACAAGTGAGGTGGAGATTGTGCTTAATTTTCTCATATTAGTTATTATTTTACATTCTACAACTCTCAAGAATCAAATCGAAATATAATAAGAGGCATTGGGTGATATGCGTAAGAAAGTAGTAATAGACACAATGACTGTAACTGGTAAATGTAGTACCACACTTACAGTCATTGTGTGTAGGACTACTTTCTTACGCTTCTCTTCTCTTCCTTTTATTATATTTTGATTTGATTCATGAGAGTTTTAGAATGTAAAATAATATGATTAGGCATAATGATATGGAACTAGCGTAAATCTACCTGAAACTCTGTGAGCTTAGCACACCTTTACAATGTAGGCCAGGGGTGTTCAAACTCGGTCCTGGAGGGCTGATGTCCTGCATACTTATTTCTATTTATTCATTCATTCATTTTCTTTTCGACTTAGCCCCTTTATTAATCCGGGGTTGCCACAGCGGAGTGAACCGCCAACTTATCCAGCACGTTTTTACACAGCGGATGCCCTTTCAGCCGCAATCCATCTATGGGAAATCCACACACACTCATACACTACAGACAATTTAGCCTATTCAATTCACCTGTACCGCATGTCTTTGGCCTGTGGGGGAAACTGGAGCACCCGGAGGAAACCCACGTGAACGCAGGGAAAACATGCAAACTCCACACAGAAATACCAGCGACCTTCTTGCTGTGAGGTGACATCACTACTGCGCCACTGCGTCGCCCATATTTTAGTTCCAACCCCAGTTAAACACACTTGAACCAGCTAATCAAGCTCTTTCTAGGTATACAAGAAACTTCCAAAGAGGTTTGTTGAAGGAAGTTGGAGCTAAACTATGCAGGACACCGGCCCTCCAGGACTGAGTTTGGACACCCCTGATGTAGGCTGTGAAATACCTAAAATCATTGGGCGTAGTGATATACAGCTGTAATGCAGTCAGAATCCGCTTGGAACTACTTTATCTGTGAATGTATTTGAGAATAATTGCACACCTTGTAATGTTACCAGACTTCAAGTCATGTTGTGTAGGACTACTTTCTTACACATTTCATCCAAAGCCTTTTGTTTAATAATACTTTAATTAGTTTCTTGAGTTTTGAATCACTGAGCGTAGTGATATGGAACTGCAGTCAACACCTGCCTGATCTGCTTCTGCTGTGCGTTTATCTGAAAATAACTGCACACCTTAGAATGTTCAACAGCTAAACAGAATCAAGCATTTAACATATACGTGATTTTAACATTAAGCTAATATATTTTTTCCAAGTTGTTTTTTTTTCTTCCTCAAACATCTTACGTTTGAAAAACAAACAAACAAATTTTTCATTTACTATGCTATAAAATCAGGATACATATCAGCTAATATGCTCTTTCCAGTTGCAGTGGTGGACTCGGACATGCAGGAGTTGTCCAGCTTTACGGTGCCACTGCATTGCGGAGAGCAATATGAAGGAGAGCAGATTCACTGGGAGAAGAACGGGAAAAGCATTTTGGAAACAGGAAACCGCATCAATGTTACGATAAATGGACTGCTTGGAGGAAACTTCACGTGTCACAGACCAAACAGAGACTTCCTGAATTACACAATACTCCTGGTGCATCCAGTCAAGTTTCATAAAGCTCTACTTCTTAAACAATCCAGCAGCAAAGGTAAATGTGAACAACATGTCTGATTCATGCTTACACCGGTGTTCATGGTAATCGTGAAAGTACAATGATGAAGCTCTTTATCTGAATGTAGTTTGGTTTTTATTGACTATTGTTGGAGAAGCTTTCAGTTTACATGACTATCCTTGTGGTTAAATGCGTCAACATATAGAGAGGTGCTCACCGTGACCCAAGTTAGATTCCTGGCTCTAGATCCTTTTCCGGTCCTTTACCTCACTTACTCTGCTCACCATGATTCCCTGTCAATACTTTCCCACTCTCCTATCCATTAAAGTTAACCCCACGCCATATATATATATATATATATATATATATATATATATATATATATATATATATATATACACAGTTGAAATCAGAATTAGGCAGCACAGTGACTCAGTGGATAGCTCTGTTACCTCACAGCAAGAAAGTCGCTGGTTCGAGTCCCAGCTGGGCCAGTTGCCATTTCTGTGTGGAGTCTGCATTCTCCGGTTTCCCCCACAGTCCAAAGACATGCGCTATAGGTGAATTGAATAAACTAAATTGGCTGTAGTGAATGTGTATGAATGAGTGTGTATAGGTTTTTCCCAGTACTGGGTTGCAGCTAGAAGGGGATCCGCCATGTAAAATATATGATGGCTAGGTTGGCAGTTCATCCCACTGTGGCAACCTCTGATGAATGAAAGAACTAACTGCGTTCACACCGATCGCTCTGGCCACCCTGGCGACAACGATGTCTGCCTTCAGCTCCGGCGGCAAGAGCGTCACAATTCGCTACATTGATCTCGTATTTAAAGGAGCCGTTGCAGCAAATCGGTTAAATTCCAACATAAAACATGCTTTCTAGCATAAAATGTTGAGCACTTCTTATCAAATTCATTTAACAATGGAAGATCAAGTTGCTTGTGGTGTGGCTTTGCTCCTCTAAATTATCCAATGTGTCCATATGTCTGAAATATCCTGAAGCAGCAGAACTGTTGAGTACTGACACATGAGATTCCTGCTTTTTAAAGATAAATATATTGAATATTACTGCACATCAGTAACTCTCCACTATCTTATTTAATGCATTTTCCTGTAAGAAAACATTGTAAATAATTGAAAATCCGGCAACCGCAATAATCAACTGTGGTCGGAACTAAAGTTCACAGGTCTGTGGTCTATGAACTCCTCTCAAGCGGTGGACTTCTTCATTCTGATTGCTTGCGCGCCATAGCTCATTAACATAATTTTGACTTGATTTTAACTCTCCTCAACGCCCACACTGGCGAAAATGAGCCGCGCTGCTCCTCGCCGCCGGCTCTCATTGAAAATTAATGACTTCCGCCTACTTTGACGCTCTTGCCGCTTTCGGTGTGAACGTACGGTAAGCCAAAGGAAAATGAATGAATTAATATTTTGGTCTTTCAATTAACTTATATCAACTAAATCAAATCAAGCACACGATGCATTTAAAACACTTGGTACACTTTGCTATAGTTTTTCAGGAAGGTTTTTTGAAGCATCTTAAAGATGTTACCAAAGTTCTTCAGAATTTAGTTTGTCTCAGTTTGTTTTGTTTCTTAATGTCATTCCAGACAGACTGGATGATGATCAGGGGTGCGTTTCCGAAAACCATCGTTAGCCAACTAAGGTCGCAAGTTCCGTCGTTACAATCATAGTTCATTGATTCGATGTTTCTCAAATCCGTTGTTTCAACGAACATTCGCAAACTGGGTAGCAAACTTGAGCACTTGCAACTACACCTCTGGAGCTGTAGTTAGAAACATAGTTCCTGGCTGTGTTCTATTCCCAGTTATCACCCCTATGCCCTATTCCTTTAGAACATTCTAACATAAAAGCATCCTTGCAGGTGTGTTGAGACAAGTTGGAGCTAAAATCTAAAAAGCTAAAAGCTAAAAACACCAGCCCTCCAGGAACGAGTTTGGACACCCCTGATTTAGAGCATCATTATGGGCGTTTTACGTTATAATTAACGTGGTTCAAACAATGGATCTGTGACAGAGAAACTGTGGGTTTTAGGAAACACTCATCACTACATCGTTCTTTTCCCAAACAATGCATCGTACTATGATAGTTTAGCCGCGAGTTATGTCGTTGTTTGGGAAACGCTTCCCCGATCATATCTTGGTGTTGTCAGACAATAATCTCACAGTATAATCACAATTAATGACAAAAGTAATTTTTGTTGTGAAAATACTAGTGGCTAGTATATATAATAGTAATGGGCTGCTGCTGGAAAGGCCTCCGCTACATAAAATATATGCCAGATGAGTTGGTGGTTCATTCCGCTGTGATGACCCCAGATTAATGAAGGGACTAAGTCGAAAAGAAAAATGAATGTTTAAATTAATAATAATAATAATAATAATATATATATATATATATATATATATATATATATATATATATATAAATAATACTAATATCTTAATATAATGGGACTTTTATTTTAATATTATTACTGCTGATCTTACTGCTGGCCTTGTGATGCCTTTAATCAGGGTGCGAATGACAGGGGGGGTTGGGTGGGATTGACCCCCCGCCCCCACCCCAATTAATGCTTGATCTCCCTGAAGGACATCAAAACAAGATGTATGGGAGGGTCAGCCCTTTAATAGTAAGAAACAGCTTTCTCCGATCTATATCTTAAATATTAATCATTAAAAATGTATAATATAAATATAAATTTGACCCCCCTATAATGGTTTATACCATTGTGAAATCGCTAATCAATGCTAGGAAAAAATATCATTAAACAGTCAGAAACTGGCCGTTCTAGAGCACCTATAGACATGTTAAGTATCCACAACACACATTTCTTGTAAAATAGGTGTTTATATCTGCATGTAAACAACAAAAAGAAAATATTAGACACATAATGTGTATAGTTTGACCTACAGCAACCTTTAAAATATATCCCTAAAAACATTGAAAATGTGAACATTTTAGAAATAAATTAGATGTTATTATTATTTAAAAAAATTTTTTTTTTAAACAAATAGGACGCCAGTGTAAAATTAAGAACACTGACGTTGTGTGAAGTTCATGTTTTTTCATTGTGTCTAAATAAAACTTCTGGTCTCTGTAGAATTCGTGTCTTGCTCGGCCAGAAACTATAATGGACAATTTCATTGCTCCTGGAAATGGCATCATGAACGAACCCACAAAGCCGTGGTATATTTCGCTGCCATCAGGTAATGAACATTCGGGATTAACAGTTTAGTAAAGAAATTATAATCAGGATTATAGTATGTAAAACAGTACAAATCAAATCTGTCCTTGTGTTTAAGCAGAAACTCAACTGACCTCAACTGCACCCTGGACTCTAATATCTCGGAACTGACCTGCATCGATAAGGATTATTGTCCGTATTCGGAAGAGTCTTTGAGCATCAACCTCACACTGCTCGTCAGAAACATGTTCAGGCTGGAGGAACATCACAGGACTTTCTTCATCCGAGACATTGGTAAGAGCTTTGTGTGCCCCCGGGTGGTCACTACATGTTATAGCCGTATTTAGAGCGAATGTGTAGCTCAGCAATAAAAGTTGTAGCTCCAAAATTTATAGATAAATATGAAAGCCCGTTTCCGCCTCTGAATTAAAAAAAAATACAATGTAAAAAAAATTGATAAAGCCAGAATTGCGACTTTATAATTCAGAATTGCAACTTTATAACTTAGTATTCTGACTTTATAACACAGAATTGCTACTTTATAACTCAGAATTCTGACTAAACTCGCAATTCTGACTTTATAACTCAGAATCCTGACTTTATAACTCGGAATTCTAACTTAACTAGGAATTCTGACTCTATAACTCACAATTTTGACTTAATGATTTTTTATTATGTGTATTCATATATATTTTTTTATTCAGTTTTATTCATTTTTATTTTATTGAAGGAAGGTGGGGTTTCCCACCAAATAATTCCCACCAAAGTCCTAAAACATTAAACATTTTATATGGACCATCTGTAGCTTTCTATTAATGAATGCAATAAGTTATAATATAGATTACTTGAATTTGTTTAGACGTTATCAGATTTTTTTTAAAATAAAACACACACAAAACATTTTACTCAATATTCAGAACCACTAATAAAAAATCCATAAGTGGTTTTATTTGGTCTTTATTTCAGAACTTGTATAGTACAATTTAATACATTATCCAGTAGAATTTAAAGGAAGACTTTTGGAAATAGGCTAATTTTACAACTCCTCTAGAGTTAAACCGTTACGTTTTACTATTTTTGAATCCACTCTGCCAAACTCCAGGCCTGATGGAAGCATTTTTATAGCTTACGCCAGAGTGAAAATATAATTTTTTAAACGCGTCAACCTTGGAAATAGCAGCTTTTCATTTTTTCTTTTTTTTTTTTGGAATTTTTGTAGCAAGATGCTAATGGTCTAATCCGATTCAATGATTTATGCTAAGCTAAGCTAAAAGTGCTCTCTCAGACTCAGAGATCAACTGAATGGATTAAAAAATGTTAAAAACCAACTGTTTAACTCTAGATAACTTGTAAAATGAGCCTATTTCCGAAAAGTGCACTGTAAAGTCAACATTATCAAATGAAATGAGTAAACTAAAAATTTACTGAAACTTAATTCTACTCATGTGAAAAGAGTTTTGAAATCAGTGTTGAAGGTAATGAGTTAAATACCTCATTACTTCAGCTTAAATGAAGTAAGTTCACAGTACTCGTATAGATTAGTTTAACTCAAATGGTTTGTAGCAATCAGTTTTCTCACATGGTTTGCGTTGTTTTAACTTATTGGATTTAACAGTACTCAGTTGGTTTGAGTTCTCCGTTTATTGGGTTTTACTGTGCTCAAATTGCTTCGTTGAATCAAATGGATTAAGTTCCCAGTACTCATTTGGATTAGTTTTTGAATCGGTTTCCTCTAATGGTTTGAGTTACCTTTACTTTTTGGGTTTTAAAGTGTGGAGTGTCCTTTAATAGCGCAGCATGTTTTAGGAATTCATCTTAAATCAGTTTAATTCATCTTGTGGTCCACCCAGTTTAGAAACACAGTATTAAACTGCTATTTTCCCATAATTCATTGTGTCTCTATTCATTCAAATCTTCAGTCAAGCCAGATAAAGTGGGCATCACCAAGATCCAGGACAATGAGTTTGAGTGGCGCCCCCCACAGACCTGGAGTTTCCCCTGCAGTTTCTTTCCTCTTTCCTACGAGATCAAAGTAGTTCCAAGAAGTCATGATTGCGACTACACAGGGAATCGTGTTGAAGTAAGACATTTATTTCTATTTTCAAATTCTGTTCATTGAGATCGAACAATTAAAAATATACATTTCTCATATAGCAAAATGAAACCAACAAGACACATTACAAGGTGAATAGCAAAAAGCCGTATACTTTCTGCATTCGAGCTCAGGACCCACTAACGAAAGCAGTTTGGAGTGACTGGAGTCATCATCATCAGTGAGTATAAAGTAACATCCAGTATATTTATGTGTTTTATGAACAAGTTTAACTGTACATTCCACATCTATTGTGTTGCAGGAAAAAACACCATCACATTCTGAAAAAATAAAAAGTGAGTTCATTTGTTCTTATTAATTATAATTATGTTTTTTTTATTTTTAATTATGCAGTTCGTATCAATACTACTGTTAATCTGAATAATATTTCTCTTTTTTTTTTTGTTAATTCAGGTATCAAAGGAACACTGCACTCTGCTAGATAATCAGCCTTCAATTGCTGAAAGATGTTCATATTTATTTATTTATATGTGATGAGTTTTGAGCTCCAAGTGTTTTCATGCATTTACTTTCCAGATCATTAAAAATATTGAATGTTCTTGGATTTGTCAGTTTTTCACCATTTATTGTGTTATATTTAATATACATTTAATTTATTTTATTAAATAGTGTTAGCTAATGGGGCTTTTTGCAAATCAATGGCCGAACATTTCACTGTAACCTTTTATGTGCGTGCAAGAATATAATATAATATAACATAATATAATAAAATATAATATAATGCATTTTCTTTTCGGCTTAGTCCCATTATTAATCTGGGGTCGCCACAGCGGAATGAGTCGGCAACTTATCCAGCAAATGTTTTACGCAGTGGATGCCCTTCCAGCTGCAACCTATTACTGGGGAACACTTATACACTCATTTATTCTCTGGCAATATAATATAATATAATATAATATAATATAATATAATATAATATAATATAATATAATATAATATAATATACGTGAATTAAATTCATTAAATGTATTTGATCATTTTCTTCCTGTCTCTTTTACAGTTCCATGACTGTACATCAGTCATAACTTTGTCAAAAAAGATTTTTCCATGGATTTTTCAATCAGGTTCAGATCAGGACTCCTTCAAAAACTTCATTTTTTCCAATGTTTTCAGCTTCAATAAATGAAGCAATGTTACAGAAAGAGCTTCTGATAAACTCTTGCATTCAATTTGTCATGTAGCTTTATTAGAAGCCAATCTTCTAGTTTAGAAATCCACCATGACATTTCGTTCCATACTTTAGGTTTAGTCTTTCCTCAGATTAATAAAAAACATGTTTTCCATTTGATCGAAATAAACACACCGAGGGCTCAGTTTTTTCCCTATATTTCGAAGAACATGTTTTACTAAAAAATAAACTTGCATTCATCACTAATGTGAACTTTACAATGGACAAACTGGAAAGTTAAGCAGTCAGTTACATAGGGTTTGTCAGATAATTATGGAATTTACCACTGTGTGCAAGTTTAACACCAATAACTTGGAAGTTTCTGAAAGTATTCTTCAATTTTGTACTGCTTCAGAATATGTAACATTATTCAGAATAATGTAACTTATGAAATATACAGTTAAAGTTAGAATTATTAGCCCCCATTGAATTTTTTATTTCTTTTTTAAATATTTCCCAAATGATGTTTACAGGGCAAGGACATTTTCACAGTATGTCTGATAATATTTTTTCTTCTGGAGAATGTCTTATTTGTTTTATTTAGGCTAGAATAAAAGTAGTTTTGAATTTTTAAAAAACACTTTAGGGTCAAAATTATTAGCCCCTTTAAGCTATATGTTTTTTGATATTCTACAGGACAAACAATCATTATACAATAACTTGCCTAATTACCCTAACCTGCCTAGTTAAACTAATTAACCTAGTTAAGCCTTTAAATGTCAGTTAAGCTGTATAGAAGTGTCTTGAAAAATATCGAGTCAAATATTATTTACTGTCATCATGGCAAATATAAAAGAAATCAGTTATTAGAAATTAGTTATTAAAACTATTATGTTTAGAAATGTGTCAACAAAATCTTCGCTCTGTTAAACAAAAATTAGGGGAAAAAAATATAAAGGGGGCTAATATTTCAGGGGGGCTAATAATTCTGACTTCAACTGTACTTAAAGTGCCCGTTTTATGTTACAAATGGTCATAATTTGGTTTTAAGAGTCCCTAAAAACAGGTTGAAATGCATGCAAGTTCAAAAAAACACTTTCGTTACCTTATAATATGATTCCCATGTGATTTTCTCTTTTGTGTGATACTAATCTGCAATAATTGATCAGGTGACTGATCTGTTGTGTCTGATAAAATAGCAAAAAATGGTAAAACTCAACTGTTTGACTCTGGGCGACTTGTGAAATGAGGTTTTTTCAAAAAAAAAATAAAAAATAAAAAATAAAATAAAATAAATAAAAAGGGTTCCTTTAACATTGACTACGGTTATGAAATGCTTTAGAGGATTTAATTGTTCACTGTTCATTCACATTGTTGAATGGGACCTTAAAGCAAAGTGCTACTATAAAGGATTTGTGAACTAATAAATACAGTTGAGGTCAGAATTATTAGCCCTCCTTTTAATTTTCTTTTCTTCTATAAATATTTCCCAAATGATGTTTAACAGAGCAAGGAAATTTTCACAGTATGTCTGATAATGTTTTTTCTTAGAGAATGTCTTATTTGTTTTATTTCAGCTAGAATAAAAGCAGTTTTTAATAAAAAAAATAAATAAATTAAATTAAGGTCAAAATTATTAGCCCCTTTAAGCTATATTTTGTTTTTGATGGTCTACAGAACAAACCATTGATATAACTTGCCTAATTACTCTATCCAGCCTAGTAAGTTAACCTAATTATCCTAGTTAAGGCTTTAAATGTCACTTTAAGTTGTATCGAAGTGTCTTGAACAATATCTAAAATATTATTTACTGTCCTCATTGCAAAGATAAAATAAATCAGTTATTAGAAATGAGTCATTAAAACTATTATGTTTAGAAATGTGCTGAAAAAAATCTATTAAACAGAAATTGGGTAAAAAATATAATAAACAGGGGGATAATAATTTGATAATTTTAATAATTTGATGATGATTCTGACTTCAACTGTATATGCACAAGTTGAAGCCTTTGTTTTACAATGGCAAACAAACAGACACTGAAAAACTACTGTAAAACCATTTAATTTAAATGTCCATTTTTAAGGTTCCATCAGTAAACCCAACGCCCACATTTGAGCACTGGCTGCAATGCAGTTACACAAAATGCAATACGGTTACAATAATATCTACTGAGTTAATGACAAAAAACACAAACTGGAGGGTGGAAATATCGACAAGCTTCAATGCTATGACTAGACAGATAAAAAAAAAAAAGTTGGTCAGGCTACTTTGATATGACACATTTATCTCCCTTAAGTCATGTGACCATTTAAGTGACCATACAAACTTACATCACACCATCCAGTTAGCATATTATGTTAGTGATAAAACAAAACATGCATGTAAACATGACTCCTGTCCTTTATTGTTCGTTTTGGAGATTTGAAACGAAGCTGAAAAAGCGTGTTCACTTATAAACCTCGTTTTTTTTCTGCAGTTTGAAATAACTTCTCTTTGGAATTCGGATTTTTTTTCCTTTTGAGAAAAAAAATACGGGTTTACCATTCTGTAGCATTCAAAGCTCTTTATTAATTGATAATTAAGTATGGAAGCTTTTTTTCTGCAAAGTGATAAAACAATTAGACAAAAAATGTTTTATTTTTGTATTCCAAAGCAGAACCAAACTTCCATAAACACAAAGACACTCAAACATAGGTCTCAAATTTGATTTCTGGAGAGCCACAGCTCTGCAGGGTTCTGTTCCAACCCTAATCAAACACAGCTGATCTAACTAATCTAGGTGTTCAAGACTACAACGTGCTATTAGGCAGGTGGACGTGGCTGGAGCTAAACTATGCAGAGCTGCGGCCCTCCAGGAATTGGGTTTGAGACCATTGCTCTAAAGAGCTTTGAACGTCAAGCTGAAAATTTGGGAAAACAAAAACGACATCATATGCACTACTATTCCAATTAGATATGAACAACAAATTCTAATTTCCATATTACCAGTTTACTTATAGGAAGAAGTGTGATCAGGCAGGAAGTGAGGTAAGAGGATCGTCATGCTTGCCTGAATGCTTTTTACTGACATGTTGAGGTAACCACTGTTTTTGAGCAGTGCTAGAATTTCTTTTTTTTTCATCCTCCAGTAACGACCCACTATAAAGACGTGTAAGATAATGGATGCAAAACAAAGAGAAGCTGATCTGCGAACAAGAGTTTCCAAACTCAAACCTTTTTTTTTTTTGAGACACAACTTCTCTTCAGTGCTGAAGATGTCATTGATTCTGCTTCTTTGAGAGGTACCTGTGGGACAGGAAAAGAAATATATTATTTTTTATGTCACGTTTTTATTGAAATTATTTTAAAATATGCTTGCTAAATGCATTACATTGTAAAAGTTCATAGAGTTTACTTAAAGTCGCTGTGAAATCTGATGTATAATACAGAAGAAAGCAATTCGAATTATAGATAAAGTGGGAAATTTGGAGCATACAAAGTATTTTATTTTAAAGATGAAGACAGTTAAGGTTACTGATTTTAATAAAGGAATAGATGTGATCATATATAAATTCAATTCATAAATTCTCTTTCCCAGTTTAATGAGTTAGTCGTAACTATGTCACAAATGATTTTCCCATGGATTTTTTTCAATCAGGTTCAATTCAGGACTTTAGGCTGGCCATTTCATTTTTAACAAAGTTTTCAGCTTCAATGAACGCAGGAAAAAAAAAAAAAACAATGTTTACAAAATGAGCTTCTGATAAACATTTGCATTCAATTTGCCATGTAGCTTTATTACTTCTAGTGTAGAAATCCACCAAACCATGACATTTTGTTACCCAAAGATACACATTCGGTCATCATTTACTTGCCCTTAACTTATTTCAAACCTTTATGAGTTTCTTGTTGAACACAAAAGAAGATACTTTGAAAAAAGCTGGAAACCTGTAACCATTGTCTTCCATAGTATTTGTCTTTCAAATACTGAAGTTAATGGTTACAGGTTTTCAGCTTTTTTCAAACTATCCTCTTTTATATACAACAGAATAAAGAAACTCATAAAAGTTCGGAAACACTTGTGAGTGATAATTGTCATTTTTGCGTGAACTATTCCTTTCAATTTAAAACGTCAGAAGTTATGTTTAAAGCTAGGAATAAATTACTTATGGAAAGCAACGAAAACATTTCAAAGAAAGACTGAGTGGATATAATGTAGCAAATTTTAGGATATTGAAAATGTGGACATGAAAAGTATTAAAATCAATCACAGAATAGTCTGAAAAAGATTTTAAAAGTGTCCAGATAGTAAAGAGTTGAAAGAGTTAAATGTTTAGAAAAGGAATATGTGGCCAAATTTATTGAGATGATTTAGTTAGTGGATGTTAGCAGTACCATGTAAAGTTTGGGTTTATGTTATAAAGAAAATATACAAATTAAGAACATATCAT